TGTCAAGAGGTGCTTCTGGATTGCCTTTCTTTGATCTGTACAATCAACTGGACAACATCCGAAAACAGGTAACACAACTTATAGTTATAACATGCAAATATATATATATATATATAACTATATGACTTGTATAGTGAGAATCTATGTTACAAGTTACAAGGCTCAAAATTTGCTCAAGCACGTCTAACTCACTGAAGAAGCCCCTCTTCACATAGGGACCCTTCAAGTCCGTGGTTCCGGAAGCTGCTTCAAGCTTTGCAATAGTGCTACCTTTTGGACAATGCACGCTTTCCTCATCACAATCCATGCAAGTGGAATCCTGCTCGATTTTCCCTGCCTGGCACACGCAATCTGCGAGAGATGATGCACCCAACAACAGGGTCGTTCGGGAAGCGCCACAAGAGATGCACGAGGTCTGAGCTGCATCTGGTTGATAGTCCCCTTCATCGCAGGGAGTGCACGTTGTGCTCCCAAAACTGCTGGCTGAAGTGCCCTTTGGACACGGCTCACATTGGGTGGAGTATGTGTTTGATTGACTGTAGCCAGGAGGGCATTGTTTGCGTTGGAAGGTTCTTCCCACATCATCAATGAGCTCCTCCGATGCAGTTCCTGCCTGGCACAGGCCGCATCCAACTGCACTTGTCCTGTTCGAGACGAAGCCTCCAAACGCATCGACCAAGCCAAAGCCTTCATAGCAGCTGGTCTCCACGGGTTTCCAGGCTGACCACCTCGTACGGCCGATGAGGATCCAGAAAAACTCTGCAAACGCTCGAACTGAACACCTTTTGAAAGGTCCACCCCAGAAAGGGTCAGAAATAACACAACCACCAGCAAAAAAACCTGCCAGGACCCTCCTGTCAGGGTGTCTATGTCGCCGTGATTTCGGTTTCTGTGCAGCAAAACCTCCCCTGCAAAACGGAAGGCCCTAGGCCTGGTTTCGATCACCAGGGATCCACCTGGGCCGTCCACCTGACTGGCTGCCGTCCTCGCGCCTGGCTCGGTGGTCTCGCATCCACTGGCAGGACACGTTGTAGGCGGAGGACTGCCCCAGCTCCAGCAGGAGCTTCTGCACTTCCGGTAGCTCAAAGTTGATCTTGGACACGAACCTTGAGTATCGAATCGTCGAAACGTCGAGTCGAGTCGTATCGAATCGCGTGCTGGGTGGAGCCAGTGGTGCCCAGCATCGGTGTGGAAGAGTGGTGTTCCATATGCCAAGCTTTCAGGAAAATGGATGCACCATATCACACCAGATTCGTTCAAGTTCACTTTTAGGAGCAGTTTTCCAGGATTCGCTTCATGCCACGAGTGGAGGCCATTGCTATAGGACTTGCTTCATACCGCGAGTCTTTGATTGATTCCCCCGCTTCGCAGCAACTTCCCACTTCCCCAATGCTGCCTAGTCTTCCTGGTCCTCACCAGAAACAAGTCTGGATGCTTCCCCAAGTACGTTGGATGTAGAGGATCTTAACTGCCGGGACAACCAGACTCGTTTCTGTTTGGGACTGTCTTTTCATTTTAATCTTTTCTATGGTCTTCTACTTGGATCTGCCGTTCGGATGTTGCATCGCATCTATGAAAGGATCGTGGGAAAAAGCGCTTGGATCCGTGACTGCAACGAAGAAATTTTGCGACTCGAGGCTGTCCAAATGTCCAAACACTAGGGACACTCCCAAGAAAAAGCTGTGGGTTTCCCATCTCAACAATATCTCAACATCACCAAGTAGGCGTTGGTCCATTCCAAAAGGCTGCCAAATTGGAGGGACAAAGAAGCTCTCGCACCTTCCCGGCCTTGGATTGCAAGTTGCTGCTCACCATCTTGGACACGTAGCTTCTTGCACCTCCAGTCTTCTTGTCTCCCATCAGCCACTCATTGGCACTGTGGCGAGCAAAAATCAACTGCTCGGGCAACATATCGATGAAGGTCGAATCTGGAACCCACCAGTAGTGGAGAGCCCGGTAAGTCTGCACATGCTTCACAAAGTTGGACCATCCACTGGAGATGGCAATGGCGGCTGGAATTCCATATGCCATCGACCACTGCATCATCGCCTGCAATTTCCAACCATTGCCAGCCGTGAAGACTGGGATGCATGTACTTGAACGAGCTCCCGATCCCGATCTAAATCTTGACCATGTCCATGACCGAGGCCAAGGACACGACCGAGAAGGTGATCTCGAACACGAGCGCGACCATGAACGTGGACAAGTCCATGGCCTGGGTCTTGTGCAGCAACTCGCGCATGATGTTGGCCAAGAACTTGGGCTTGGTCGAGAGCAAGCCCAAACTCATGACCATGCGCGCGGACAAGATCAAGCCCAGCAACTCGATCGAGAGCGAGATCCAGACCTTGGACAAGATCGCGATCGAGAACAAGCTCAAGGGCTGGGCCAAGTTCTTGAACAGGAACATGGAAGAGGGCAGGCACAAGAACATGGGCTGGCTCCCGGTCACGAGCACGCTCGTGTCCGATGTCAAAGACCTTGGCCAAGGCACGCTCGAGAACTTGGACGCGACCACGATCTCGATCCAGACCTCGAAGATGACCGAGTACTCGATCGCGGCCCTGAACAACACCTTGTTCGCGGCTGCGTACCGGTTCAACGACACGTTCGCGATCCCGATCGAGAACTGGATCGTGTCCGCGACCGCGAAGAAGGCCAACGTGTCGCGCGTGAACGTGTACAGGAACGGGCTCGTGCACTTGCTCAGGTCCACGTTCATGTTCAAGTTCAATCTCTCGCTCGAGAACGAGGGCATGACCATGGACCCGATCGAGTACATGGACATGTTCGGGGACCCGATCACGAGTTTGAACAAGATCCTGATCACGACCTCGGTCTCGGGCCACGTCTCGCACGAGGCCGGGTCCGTGATCGAGGTCTCGACCTTGGACCTGGCCTTTAACAAGACCTTGATCTCGGACTTGGACACGAGCAAGCCCTGGTTGATGATCCCGAACGGGAACACGAGCATGACGCCGATCGCGAAAGCGTTCTTGGACATGCCCACGACCAAGACCAAGATCGGGTACACGACCATGAAGGAGATCGAGGCCCTGTTCGATGCCATGAGCGTGGCCGAGACCACGACCGAAGTCCTGAACATGGCCGACGACTTGTTCGCGATCATGAACAAGAACATGGACATGCTCGAGATCATGGTCGACCACGGGTTCCCGTACCAGATCAGGATCTTCATCTTGATCTACTCCTGGATCAAGATCCTGTCCGTGGACGAGCACTTGTACGTGAGCATGATCATGAACGAGAACATCACCGAGGCCAGGATCAAGTTCATGGAAAGGATCAAGAACGCGAACATGACCGACTGCTTGAACCCGAACGTGGGCATGGACACGATCGACTACAAGGACGTGGTCATGGATCCGAACGGCCTCCCGTTCGTGGACGAGTACAAGTTCATGAAGCTGCCCGAGGCCAAGGACTTGATCGTGTGCATGGCCAAGAACTTGCCCGTGCGCATGACCTCGGGCTCGACCGCGAACATGTACGAGCACTTGATCTTGGCCATGGTCGGGGACGAGTTCGTGAGCACGAAGCGGCTCCCTAACACGGTCATGGCCGCGAACAAGATCCAGATCTTGCCCGTGACCACGGTCTTGGACAAGTCCGAGTCCATGACCGAGCCCATCATCTCGGGCGTGGGCTTGGCACGCGGGGGCATACCACCAGCGATGGTTTGCACACTTGGCGATCAATGAGCCATCTGTTTGGTTTACAACCCCGTCATAGTCACCCGAAAACCGGGCATAGTCTCCCATGCGGCTCGGATTGCTCATGTCCGTCTCGTTGCACAACGCCAATTCCGACATGTTCACAGCGTGAATGGAATCGAAGTATTTCCTGGCTGTGTTGTTCGATTAGAAGACCGAAGACCATATGAGAACATAGAAAAGCTCAACCCCTTGGGAAGTTTAGGACCGTTTGTTCCAGACCCATTGAACCAGGAGGTCAAGGTGGCAGGAGACATTGATGTCACCCTACACCGACTTCGTCGCACCGAACTCAGGTTCGGTATGACTGGGCCCGAACATGGCACCCACCTCAGTCCCACCGAACCTCAGAAGGTACTTGGAAGTCTAGGGTGACATCAATGAGGCCTTTTTTCTCACCACAAAATGGTTCCGAGCACTCGGCTCGTCTCTTCAACAGCCCAGTCTCTTCGGGTCGTGATGCGTCGTGTTGTAGCCTCAAGCTTTGGTCAAAATCACACATGTGTCATCTCTATACTCATGCTTTTCCATAGCTTTTCGATAACGATACCCCCCAATGTTCAAGACACTGACACTGCCGACACATGGCAAAATCAAGCAGCCAAAACAGGAAGAGGTTACAGATTGACTCTAGGTCAATGAGCTCGCGAATCAATGAAGAAAACATATGCATCTATATATCTGCTAGCTCTGCAGCAGTTTACCCGGGACATACCCATATCATCCCTACTCTTAGAAGTACTCCTGGGGAACCCCCCGTTTGCAGACTGTGACTGTGGGACTGTTCACAACTGCTATATAATCTTCCGACAACGTACAGGCGGTAAGACTTCTTTTCCATCTGGACCTAGATGAACAAGCGTCAAAACGTCTTGGGCATAAACATATTCATCGCTGCACCCCTTTTCATACCCAACCACAGGGGTGGCTTATGATATATCATTTGCAGGTCACAGTCTGCGATTCCTGCAATCCTGCTACCCTCAGCAAAGTAGCTTTTGTAGAAGTCCAGGGCCAGACCTGATTCACTGTAGGCAGCATGGAGAATCTCCTGGCTCACGTACATGGACTCCTCTCCAGAGTATCCCATACTCCCCAAATCCTCTGCTGCAATCCTTGGGTATTCCTTCGCGAAATTGTTCTGAGCGGATGCGTAGCTTCCAACCCAGCTGTCCACACTCACATGGATCTGCGTCTCTTGAGAGCCACAATTCTTCTCGGTTGCATGATCAAAGTCAACGCATCCGGCCAATGCGTAGATGGGAGAAGCCCCACTGGCACCCACCTGGGGAGCAATGTCTGCATGGAAACCAAGGACCTCTCTGATCAGCATCACCGTCAATTCATTGAGAAGCGCTGAAGATGCCCAAGCGCATTCAAGCGCTTGGATTGGAATGTTGTTGCTCGCATCATCCTGAATGGTGGCAGGCATATGACTAGCTTCAGCAGAGCTTTCGTGAGAATCAATTCATAAACTCATGAGCAAAAGAAGCCTGCGGGGATTCATTATCACAGATTATCACTGGGTGTGGCACTGTGCATAGCCGATCGCAGTTTTCCATAGTTTTACATACAATAACAGTTTTACAGGGATCTGCTCATATCCTTTCTCAAGCCAGCTCTAAAAAGAGGACAATGTTGCAAGTCTAAACCCACTGCCTGAATGTACTTCCGCTGGCTGAATGGCACACCATCATCGAGGCAAAGCTCTTGCGCGATGGAGCCTACATTCAGCCCAAGAAGTAGCACCAAGCGCAACATTGCTCCAAACATGACGAACGTGGACAGACACCGAGCAATGGGAGGTTTACTCCGAACCGTGCTGAGAGCCCAAACTCAGACCAGTCCGACTCCCGTCGACGGGCTTCGAATCGGATCTAAGCGCTTCGTCTCGTGTCGATGCTTCGAAACGTTTGCCCGATCTCTCCTGGCGCTACCGAACGTCACGAGGGGCTATGAACGGAGCTCCTGGCATCCCTCCCTCATTCTTCATGCCGCTCCCTCTCTCGGGCCGCGCGAACGCGCCAGCCTGGGCGCTCGAGAAAGGAACTCTTGCAGCACAGAGCTTCGCAGTGGGCTATGCCGGGAGAAGATGGTCACCAACATCTGGAAGGCCATGCGACAAGAAAAAGGTCTCATTAACTGGACCCTGGATGTAAAAGAAGCGTATCATCTTGTGAAGAACTACAACAAACCATGCAAATCGTGTGTAAATCGTATGTGACTGTTGAAGAATCCAGCCCTGGCGGCCATGGCCACGGCTTGGCCGAGGAAGAGACAGGTTGGCTGTCGTTTGGCGCGACTAAAATCATCCTGTTCGCGCTGGTGAGGGTGGTTTTGGGCAAAAAACAGAAAAAACATGTTGACAAACAATTATAAAATGAAGCTTACCTAAGCTTACTTTACTTGGAGTGATCCCCACCCTAAGAGGTGGAAGAAGGCAGGGCACAATGGATGGACAGACCATCCCGACAAACGCCTGGCAGCTGGGGATGGCGCATGAAAATCCTCCTTGAGGAGCAGTTTCCAAAGGCCCGGGGCCCGTCGGGTCACCTAGCGATGGCCTCCAACCTGAGAGCGATGGCTCCAACCTAAGAGCGAT